TTAATCTGCCTTCATTTTCTATGCATTGGTTTTGACTATAACTAATAGAAGAGGGTAATATACACATTACAGTCTTTGGGCCATAAGTTCTTTCAACAAGCACAAACTGAGTGTGCTCCAGATGGTGTGCCTTAGGTGGTCAAGTTCATAGTAACTGCTACCAATCATCAAACATTTTTATTCCAGACAATGTACTAAACACTTCACAGACATTATCCTGTGAAATTCAAATCCCTGCCACAGTCTTTTGAAGGATGTATTACTGTCCTCATTTTATGACAAGGATGTTGAGATACAGAGAAATGAAATAGCTGGTTTAAGTTGATCCAGGCAGGAAGTGGGGGGGACCAGCTCAAACCTGGTTCAGACCCCAAAGCCCATGCTCTTAACTATGGAGCCGAGTCTACCTGGCGGGCACTATTATCATTGGTTCGAACAGCTCAGGGGAAACTGCATTACCACTTGGGGCATCCTCTCCTCTCCTCTTCCTTCTCTCCCAGCTGGGGGCTGAGACTGGCACCTCCCTTTATCTCCACTGACATCCAATCTCCTATTCCCACACTGGTGTTTGAGGTTTGATCGCACGTGGCCCCTTCTATCTAGTGACCAAACTAAACACTTATATGTTTTGTCAAAAACTTTTGCTGTCGGCCTCTTGTCCTGAAACTTCAGTTTGAAGGACAGAAGGATAATGGGGACAAACAGCAACAAGCTCCTGGTGACTCAGAAGTGGAAGTGCCCCGACTGCAAGGGGAGAGATCTTTTTCCTTAGGGTTTCTTATCTTTTCTTGCCTCAGTTTCCCCACGTGCCAAATTGGTAGGCCTTGGGTTTGTACGTGCTGGATGACAGTGCTGCAAAAAAATCAAAAGTGGTTCCGTCCCAATAGCTCGGTTTTGTTAACTGGAGTTGGCAATAAATGTTGACCAAGGAGGACATGTAACTGAGGACAAGGTGTGCTTCTTAAGAGGCTTAAATTAACAGAGGAGCTAAAGAGGGAAGAAATCAAATGAGGGATTAGAGCACACGCAGCCATGAGTCAGCAGCAGGGCCTCCGGGAAAGGAGACCACGGAAGGAGGAGGAGGGAGGGGGGCCACGGACAAGGGGCCTGGCCACCAGGCTGAATGCCATGAAGGGCACAGGTCATGCAGACGCCTGAGGGTACTGGACCTTTCCTGTAAATGCTAAACATTCATTTCTCCCCATTCTATTCCCAAAAAATATTTGATTTGATTCTATTGAAAATGATTAAATTTCTATTTCCTTTTTTTAAATGTGTATTTTAATTTGCCTTCTACCTCCACACCCCTAGTCCAACTGTAGCACTGTTTCCCAAACCTTAATCCTAAGAATCATTTGGGCAGGGCTTCTAACCGGTTAGTTTTAGTTTGACCCTAAGCTGCGAATCTGCATTTCCAACTCAGATGGACTGAATCAGAACCTACATTTTAACAAGGTCTCCAGGTGATTCTTACGTATTTATTCTTATTGAGCTAAAAATGTATACACACAAATCACCTGTTAAACTACGGATTCTGATTCAGTCTGTCGGGTGGAAGTGCAAGTTCTCAGAAGAGGGTCAGACCCTCGGATAAACCGGTTTGAAGCCCTGCATCTGGGGTGATTCCTCCGGGCAGGCAGGGCTTGGCAATCTTTACTTTAAACAAATGACCAAGGTCATACTTGTAAATGCACATAATACGGGGAAAACGGCATTAAAAAGTAAGCACATTCATCATAAATTATCTAGAAAAGTATAAAAGAGGAAGAAATCATTCCCGATTCTGGCTGCATTTTCTTTCTTTCTATGCATAATGTTTTTACATGAGATGAGCAATCATATATTCAATTCTGGACTGCTAACCAGAAGGCTGGCGTTTCAAACCCACCAGCCACTCCTTGGAAGGAAGATAGGGCAATTTACTTCCGTAGTGATACTGCCTTGGAAACCCAAGGAGGGGTCGCTATGAGTCGGGTCCGACTCGACGGCACATAACAACAACAACAACAACAACAACAACAACATGTTTTCCATATAATATAAAAATATGTAACTTGTACTTTTTAAATATGACCAGAATATTTCAGAGGAGCTCTGGTGGCGGACTGCCTAAGACATTTGACTACTAACCAGAAGGTTGGCAGTTCAATCCCACCAGCTACTCCTCGGAAGGAAGGTTGGGCAATCTACTTCCGCAGAGATACCACCGCAGAAACCCAAGGAGGGGTCGCTATGAGTCAGATCCGACTCGATGGCAGTGAGTTTGGTTTTTGGTATAATATTCCAGGCCACTGAAAATTAAAAAGCAGACAAAATTCCTTTTCCAGGGATATTTATTCACTTACTCCCTTCCTTTCTTCCCCTTATTGTATGTTAGTGATTTTTTAACAAAACAAACACTAAACAGAAAAGTGTCTATGTAGCTGTTGACTTTGAACAGTAAACAGTTACATAAGTGAACCCAGAACATGTGGTTATTAATCTACAAATAAGTTTACGTAAAAAACGAGGAAAGTACTTACTATGCACCAGATGACAAAGGAAATTTCAAACTTGTGAGGGAAGCTAAAAATGGACAGTCCAAGAAATGCAAACACACACGTTTCTGAAACAAACCAAAGAATGCATTATTCAGCCCTGACTATCTTTCCCCCCAGTACAGTACTACATTGTTAAGCAAGCAAACAGTCAGAAGTAAGTGGAATCCAATAAAACACTTTGCTTATTTTCTAGCAAATCTTGCAACCAATGGATGGGCCGAATTTGTATTTAGATTCTCTCATTTTCTTCTATCACACAAAGCAGTACTTCCTGCTCTTCAGAATCTTCCCACTTAATGAGTCAACTGTCAAATGCTTAAGTAAACAAATGCCGTCCCACCCAGGGAAGATGATAAACATATGAATCTGTCCATTTGCTGAACACTATGATTAGCAAGGATCCCTACTGTGGCAAAGTGGCAAAAATTCAGAGCTAATGACTGCAGACACCACAGGACTGTGAAAGGGCCTTTTGTTAACTTCCTTGGCAGAGCAGACACATCCGAGTGACTGACTTAACACATTTGACAGCCACCACCAGGTTGAGAATGTGGCTAAACCAGAGGGATCTGCAGGAAGAGTCGCATTTCCATCCGTGGCTCCACTCTTTAAGCCAGAGTCTGACACTGGCTTTCTGTTGTACAGCCACCCGCACAGTTTAAGAAAAGGTACCTTTTAAATTCCTAACACCATGCTCCCTGCTTCACTGTGATGTTCCCCAGAGTAACCAAGTGACTAGGGAGAGATAAGGCTCTATTTTAAAAGAGGTGAACATCATAAAATGGTGAGGCTGTTTAAACATTTTAGCAAAGCTCTTTTCAAATGTCTACCCTTTTAAAACAAGTCTACAAGCTGGGATAATGTCTTCTCGCTTCTCCTTCTTGAATTTTTCTCTTATCTAATAAGTATTTTTGTGATCTTTCCAAATCAGCACATTCAGAACACATTCAGATTGACTGTATCCATTTCCCTGCTGGCATAAATTCTATTGGATGGGTAATTTAACCAACCCCGGTGAATGGACATCTAGGCTGTGTCTAGCTCTGACACTACAACAGACATCCCTGTCCACGGGGTAAATTCCTGATGGGGGGACTGCTGGGTTGAGAGCAGAGACCTCTGTAAGTGCAGAGCCATGCTGCCAATGACTCCCCGAAGGCCCGTGTGAACGCACGTTCCCCTCGGCGACTGCTCCCCCGCTGTGTCAGCAGCGTATCATCGAACTCAAAGTCTGCTGGTCGGATGGGTGAAAAAAGGACTCTGATGGGTGTTTGGCTTTGCATTACGTAACTGTGAGGGTCAGGGTCAGCGTTAGAATCTTTAGCCATGGCTTGTTTTCATTTTAATAATTTATTTTGTTACGCACAGCAGAACATGTACCAATCCAGTGACATTACATTCTTTGAGTCGTGTAACCCTCCTCCTCTATTCACATAAACTCCCGGCTCCCTAGGTTTCCGATCTCATCTTTGGAGTTGCTGTTGTTAAGCTGACCTCATATAGAGAGCTCTTAAAAGAGCACCAGTGTTCAAGGCAGACTTTAACTTATTAAACCATTGTTTAAGTTTAAGAAGGTTTTAGGGGGTATTTCTGGCCTAAGGTTTAAAGATTATCTCATGGCAGTAGTTTCAGGGGTTCGTCCAGACTCTATGGCTCCAGAAATGCTGGAGTCCATTCCCCCCCGAAAAAAAACCAAACTCACTGCCGTCGAGTCAGCAACCCCTCCTTGGGTTTCTGAGGCGGTATCACTATGGAAGTAGATTGCCCAACCTTCCTTCCGAGGAGTGGCTGGTGGGTTTGAACCGCCAGCCTTCTGGTTAGCAGTCAGGTGCCTTAAGCACTACGCCACCAGAGCGGCTTTATAAGAGGGATGCTCTGAAAAAATACCCACAGGACCAGGAGTGACGCATCCTGCTTCCAGACTCACCCCTTTGCCAGGGGACTGTGGGCAGGTCATTTTACCTCTTGGACCTAAGCTGATGAAACCCCAGTGTGGCATACCTCCTCAGACACAGCAGTGGGGAGCTAGTGCTTCAGAATTACACAAGCCCCTCGAGATGCCAGGTAGTACCGAGGCTGATGTCTACGTGACAGTGACAGCCACTTAGGGGTCGGCTTACAAGCACAGTGTGAGGGTGCTTCCTTCACTTCCAGGTATAAACTGGGGAGGAGAGTCATGTGTGTGCAGGTGTGTGCATGGTGTCTGGGTGTGTATGTGTGGGAAATGTGTGCCCAAGAACTCAGACTGAAACTATTTAAAAGGAAAATGAATCATGGTGTATTTGACCCCAATATGCTAATGGAGAATTTCCCAAGTTTACGTCCTTCAAGACGTTCTTGTGAACACAAGTTCTAAGGACACGTTTGGGAAATGCTCTATCTCCCCCTCTTAGAGATTCACATGCACGTTAGCGTGTTGGTTCTGGAAGTCTTGCAGTTCATAAATACATTAAACTTTATTTAACCCAGTGTCCCCCCCCCCCTTTTTTTTTTGCCTCCTATGGAACCTTTTGGCACCTAACCCTCATCAACATCAATTCCAAAGAATACATTTTTGGAAATATCACTTTAACACATTAAAAACGCATTAAAAACATCAAATGTTCGTAATTCGTAGTCCTTACTATTTTTGGCCTTAGAATTGAGGGCCTTGACTGTTTCATTTATTAGGTGGTAGGTTTATTTTATGAAATTTGAAAGCCGAGTAACAAACGAAAGGTAAGAATGTGAAGAATCTGGCCCTGCGGAATTCTGATGCCTGTTCTGCCTGGGGGGACATCCCGACTGACTCCCTAGAAAAGGACACGGAGAACGGTCAGCCCCACAGGACTCCACGCAGAGACAGCACTCACCGCACAGGAAGGCCACGGTCCGCAGGGTTTGCTGCATGAGGATCTGGGTGACCGGGGAGAGGTTATGGTGCGTGTAGTGGGACATGACAATGCCGGAGAACAGGATGGCCATGATGCCTAGGGACACGGGGACAAAGTGCAAAGAGTTAACAGCAGAAGAGCAAACGGCAGGGAGACACAGACCACACCTCACTCTTCCCTGGAGCAGTAAGTGTTTTACAAAAAAGGTTAAAAAGGAGAAGGAAACAACTGCCTGAGGTCTCCCAGGGACTTCAAAGGAGCGTCAAGGCCCCTCCTCCCTGGCAGCTTCGTTACCAGCTGGGTGACCGTGGGCCAACTGACTTCCCTTCTCCAAGCCTCAGTTTTCGTATCTGTATAGTGGGACTAATAATAGTATCCATTCAGGGAATTGTGTATTCTTCACCAGCACCTTAATCCACCAAATCTTCTGTCTTCCTTAGTCACTGCCCAGCTTTCGCATGTGTGTGAGGCGTTTGAAAATACCATGGCTTGGGTCAGACTCACCTCAGTCCTCAAAGTGCCATCTTTAACACTTTAAAGAGGTCTTTTGCAGCAGATGTGTCCAATGCAATACACTGCCTGACTTCCTGACTGCTGCTTCCATGGGCAGTGATGGTGCAACCAAGTAAAATGAAATCCTTGACAACTTCAATCTTTGCATTTATCATGATGTTGGTCATTGGTCCAGTTGTGAGGATTTGGGTTTTCTTTGTATTGAGGTGTAATCTATACTACCTAGGAGGCCAGACAGGGAAATGCCAGCAGTGTTCCCGTAGACATTCAGGACAAAAGGGAGTGGGGATAAGAAGGCAGAAACGTCCTTCCTTGCCACTTTAGAGCAACGTGAAGATTCTCTGGCATTCAAGAGAAGTCCTCAATCACTGTTCCACTGGATGAAAAACACACATAAAACCACCACCTCCAGTGTTTTCTTTAAATTCTCAGATTTTCTGCAGGTGCTACCAGGACAGGCCCTTCCTGAACCAGACGCCATCAAAAGGCAGAGCGCAAACCCTGGGCTTACTCCAACCACCACCCTTTGCTTCACCAGCATGCTTCCAGAAGCGCTAGCAAATCACCGGCAAAGTAGAGTTGGTATTTACCACCTTGAAGTGAAAGTCAACCCAAGAGGAACGTAAGCCGTGTTTAAGCAGTAACATGGATCCCCTCCACCAAACTGCTGTCCTGCACAGTGAAGTCCTCGATAGGCTACAGGACTCCCGGACAGTACACAGCCACTCCAGACAGCCAAAGGCTCCAGGAAGTAAGGTCTGGCAGTAGGATGTGGAGGTTCCCTTAAGACTGAACATTTGGGAGAGCCCACTGTCAGGGCTGAGAACTTCCTGGTGCCCAGGCCTGCCCTGCCCCAGCACTGCTCACCAAGGAGGCAGGCACAGAAGAGGCCTGGCTGGCAGTTTAGCCTGGTGCACCAGGAAGGGGAGGGGTGGAAGCTCAAACTGTCAGGGGCCAGGTGAGTTATAGAAAGTGGGTGAATGGCACAAGGGACAAGGCACAAGCCCAACTGAAAAGGGCTGGCGGTCTCCCTGGAGGCCTGGGGGCCTAAGGCTGACCAGTCTTCCTTCGGTTTTTTTCCTGAGAGATGCCAGAAATCCATTTCTTATGGGAAATCTCCCAACATTTAATGACTATAGCTAACTCAAGGTTTAAAATTTTCCTCTGAATAGATAAATAAACCCCATCTGGGTACTGAGTTGGGACCATAGCTACCACCTGTGTGCTTGACCTACTGATGCTGGAAGTGTGTTGTGTGGCCAATCCAAGGGTGAACAGACAGCCCCGCCCTTACTCTGGGCTAGGTCTGGGGTTGGGCACGCTTCTTGAGCCCTGGGAGTTGAAGGAAAGGGTCAGCATTGGGTCCAAAAGCCTGAAGGGCAGCTCAAGTGTCTTCCCTATGTTCCCTCCCTAAGCAAAGACAACTTCCATCACCCAAGCCACCCTCATCCACTGCAGCTGCCACGGGACAGGCTGCGAAAATACAAATAGGGCTCAGTGTGCAAACGAGGACCACTTTTAGAGATAAAAGGCATGGGTGGTTTTTTTTTTTGAAATATTCTGTAAGGAAGAATTTCTGACACATTTAATTTTTTAAGAAGGCAAAATCATTGAAAGAAGATAACAATACAGTAAAAGTGTTCAGCCTCTTAGAAAGAAGAAGAGAGAGGCGGCGGGAGGGAGGAAATTCTTTTCTGTTGCTGTTAGGTGCCGTCGAGTGGGTTCCAACTCACAGTGACTCCCGGTGCTGTGTAAAACAGAACGGAGCGCTGCCCAGTCCCGCCCACCCTCACAGTCACTGCTGCCAGGACTGAGCCCGTCATCGCAGCCCCGCGTCAACCCATCTCACTGAAGGTCCCCCCTTCTCAGTGCCCTTCCACTTTACCTAGCATGGTATCCTCCTCCTCCAAGGACTGGCCCCTTGGACAAGTCTGGCCATGTTTGCTCCTCAAGCGCATTCTGGCTGTACTTCCTCTAAGACAGATCTGTTTGTTCTAGTTAGTAGTCCATCGTACTCTCTCTCTAATTCCTCACCATAATTCAAATGCATCAACTCTTCAGCAGTCTTCCTTATTCACTGTCTGGCTCTTACACGTATATGAGGTTACTGAATACCTGGCTTGAGTCAGGCGCACCTTAGTCTTCAAAGTGACATCTCTGCTCTTAAAACGTTTTAAAGAGGTCTTCTGCAGCATATTTGCTCAATGGAATATGTCATCTTCTGGTCATGGTTAAACCACTCTTTTAGATGTAATAAAGGAACGCAGTGAAGGTTTTCAAGTCCAAAAGGCAGACATCGACCGTGGCACTGTATGCTTAGCAGCAATGTATCCTGTAGTCACTGGGGTACACTGTCACCACACGCAGGCTTCTTTGCTAATTAATTACCCAACAGAAGTACGCACCGCTTAACATCCATTTGGCCAATGTCTACCTCCATATACAACCACGGGCTGGGGCGCCCAGGTGTCTGAGTACCAGACCCTCATCTTGAGACTGAAGCCCATTTTGGCCTGGCTGTTGCACACAGCCCCGAAGCCACCCAGTCTGAAGCAAAGAAGGCCCGAGCCCCAACTCTCAATGTTGGTCCCCCTTGGGTCCCATGATTTGGTGGGTCCAGGCCCCACATTTCACCGGGTGTAGTTCCACAGGGCGTCAATAGGAAGGTATGCGTCACAGGGCCTCTAGCCCTTGCCTGGGGACCCTCGGCCCCCTCGGCCCGCACCAACCCCTCTCTGGGCAGCTGGTTTAGCTGAGAAGGCAGCAAAAGCTGCATGAGACCAACCGAACCCTCCTGAGGTGTCCACAGTGGGAGCTGCCCAGCCACGTACTACACAGCAGTCCTCAGCCAGCATGCCCAGGAGCCCTGTGCTCCATGGACACAGATGTTCACACAATGCCTAAATCACCAACTTCACAGAACGTACCATGGACATTAAGTGACACATACCTGTACATAAACATATTTTGCCGTAAAACATTCTGAGTCAGAGGTACACAGGAAGACACGAGAACACCTGTTCATACCCCTGCCCAGAGGCAAGTACTGTTAAGAGTTCGATACACAGATCACTACTCCTTTTACTATACAATTACACATAAAACCAAAAACCAGACAGCAAACTCACTGCCATCGAGTCAGTTCTGTCTCATAGTGACCCCTCTTTGGGTTTCCCAGGTGGTATCTCTATGGAAGTAGATTGCCCAACCTTCCTTCTGAGGAGTGGCTGGTGGGTTTGAACTGTCAGCCTTCTAGGTAGCAGTCAAGTGCCTTAGGCACTACGCTACCAGAGCTCCCGCGATTATATATATGTATGTGTATATATATATATATGCTTATTTATCTGTAGGGAAAATTAATAAGCAGCAATTACACATATGGCATATGTTACCAATAGAGCACTTTAAAAGACCTCCAACTTGCCTTGGAACATATAATAGAACCCCAAGTCCTTGCCAGGCCTACAGGCACCCCATTCCCAGCGCACCCTGTTCCAGCCATCCTGGTCCTCTTGCTCTTCCTGGGGCCTGCCACGCTCCCTCACTCGTACCTGGGAGCCTCAGCACCTGCTGTACTGCCACCACTCTGTCCCCATATCGTTCCCATGGCTGGCTCCTCCTCACCATCTGGGTGTGCACTCTGGTCGCCTCATCAAGGCCACCTTCCCTGACTGCCCTACGTCATGAGTTTTCTGTCCCAGGCCCCTCTGCCACATGACTGAGTTCTCGTCTTTGTATCGTTTCCACTACCTGAAATTATCTTGTTTGCTTACCTATTGTCTTTCTTCTGCAGGTAAGAACCTGACTGTGTCTCATTGGCTACTGTAGCCCGGATCCCAAGGCTCTTTCTCAGCACACGGTAGGCATCTGGTATGTATTTACTGAATGGATGGAGGGTTTTTCAGCTTGCTTTCATAAAACTGAACAGCACGGCTTAGAGTTCTTCCCATAGGAGCACAAACACCTTCTAAGGGGCTGCACAGTATGCAGTAGTGAGAATGGACCAGAACCGACTTCATCCTTCCTGTTACTGATGAACAGTTAGGTGCTTCCAATTTCTCTCTCAAACCAGGTTGCACTGGGACTCTGGGCTGGACACCCGTGTCCCTCTCTGTCATCATCCCAACTGTTCACGCCAAGTGCTATGTCCCAATCCATCTTGCAAACTCATCCTCCAGCCCAAACATCCCATCCTCAAAACTGACTTGAATGAACCACGAAAAGAGCTAAAATGGGTACAACCAGAACAATTATCCTGAGAAGAGCTAACACTAAGTGATCATTAGGAAGACAATTCAATTTTCTGTTTCTGCCATCAGGATATTTTTCAGGGTGAAGGCAGCAATGTTAACTGATCATGTTGGGATAAAAGGGGAAAACTGGGTGTCGAAGACAAACGGGGATGCATGGTCACTGTGGCAGGAACACCAGGTATCAGTGCCCCTATCAACAGTCTCCCCTGCCTCAGTTCCCTGTAATCTTCAAGATACTAGGTTGGCACTTTTATGATGAGGGAGGGGAGGCTCGAGATGGTTAGGTCTGTCATCCGAGGTCACACAGCTAACGAGAGGGGGAATTAGGAC